TTTGAGCAAGGTTGATAGTTATTCCTGGGGCATACTACCCTATAAATCTCAAATACATACAACATATAATCTGATAATTACATACTTGAAATCCATAGAAGACAAATTATAAATGGAGACAACAAAATAATTATGGCCCGATTTTTGTAAACTAAGTTTACTTCTACTATTTCAAGTTGTCAAATTTTCTTTTTTTTCTCCTATCCTGCTTTTTTCTCATTTGAAGCACATCAGGCACAGAATCAAATAGATAGGAATTAATGTTTCTAGTTGTAGAAGACTGGGCCAGACTTGGCAGGTCTCAGGGTCTACTTAGTTCTAGCAGTGTTTGGGGTACCATGTGTGTTGCTGAGAATCAAACTGTAGTTACTATATGCAAAGCAAATGTCTTAAACCTCATATTATTTCTCCGGTTCCAGAGATATAATAAATAAAGTCCCTCACTGGCCATCTTACCAAGACTCTGGACACATTACATAGATTCTCTGCTTCAGGTTTCCTAGTCTACAAAAAAAGTATTATTATCTATATCTAACTCTTAAGGCTAAAACTGATACTAAATATGAAACAACTTACATGAATTAACTTTGCTTTATAGTCTCATCAACCTAAAGGTTTTCCCAAATATTTATTTGGAAGTCTGTTTGTCTTTCATCTTTCCCAAAGCAACTTTTTCTCTCTTTTTGGTCTTTAGAATTTCTCCATCGCTCTGTCTTGCTCTTTCTTGCTCTGTCTCTCTTTTTCCTTAGTAGAAGAATCAGAGAGCTACCAATCCTAATTAAATGTTTTCCAGTATTTTAAACATGTAAATCAGATTATGATTATATTTATAATTATAATTAATATTACAAGACCTAAAATTCATTGAGGTCTGATAATGGCTAAGATCTTATTGACATGCATGTATTTTTCTCATCTATATCTCTCAACCCTTCATATAGATAAAAAAATTCTATTTTATAGAAATTTGATATAAGCTAGTGTACTGAGATTATTTGTTTCACCAGGGTCACAAAGCTAATAATAAGTGACCAACCCTGGCAACTCACCCTGCGTGTGAGTATGTGCTCTTGCCATCCATCTTTAAAATGGCAGCAGTGGGGTTAATGGGGGAAGAGGCAACAGAAGCAAAGGCCCTCCAATATAAATGTCAGGTGAGAAATGTCCACGTTCACCAATATTGTTTGTAAAATAATAGCAATAAAAGAGTGATTTTTTTTCCTTTAAGATGCTCCTTACTGCTATGTAAGGTACTGTTGTATTATGACTTGCAGTAGTAATGGACCTGAAAAAACATTTTCTGTAAATCAGAAGCCTCAGTGAAACAATTTTGATTCTTCTCATGTGTTTTTACTCTTCTGATCTGACCAAGAATGGCTTGATACATTCACCAACTAAAGAAATGAAAGAAAACAAGAAGTTTGAGCATCAGAAACAATAAGGAGAAATCTCCATTTAAATACAATTAAAATAAAACCTATTCTCTAACCTAGATTATATGACACAATTTCCATCAATATAATAACCTGAAAACAATAGGTATTATGCAAATAATTTTATATAGTGAAACGTGTTCATATTTTGCAGACCCAATTACTTGAGATTTTAGCAAGGATATTACTCAAAGAGAGGGGTTGCTCTTTACTGGACTTTTTCTCTTGATAGAATGTAATAACTTGTATAGATTTCCCCAACTGCTAGAAGTTATGAACTGGGATTTACCAAGAAGGAAAGTGCTTCAATACAGTATTATATGCTTATTGAATATTTTACTTTATTTAGCTGATTCCTTTTTAAGTACTTCTAGAAGTTTCAGAGCAATAAAAAATGAATACTGAAATCTTCAAATAAGAAAATACAATTTTATGGGCAAGTGTTTTATTTCTGCTCATTCCCTGCAAACCAAATCTATACTAAGAAAAATTCTATTCTGAACACGATTGTAACTTTATGAGTATTGAATTTCCATCCCATTTCATAGATTTCAAATAGAGTGATAAACTTAAGACTAGCAGGGCTGCAAATGACATTGTTTAGATAAACACATTTTGCCTGAATTATCCTGGTACCAGCATTAGAAGCTCTAGGCATTTTGGAACTAAGATTCTGGCTTAGGCTCTTAAGAAAGAACACTACTTATCTCAACAAAAGCTCTCTTTTAAAATGCTTTTGGGGAAACATTTAGATTAGAAGCTTTCCATTGTGATGCAAATAATCATAAAGGTATTCATTCCAGAAAGACAAAAGCTTAGAAAAGCAGAACTATTGAAAGCACTGGATATTAACAGAGAGCAATCAAAGTGCCCTCTGGTCATTCCATTTTAATCTACATCATGAAAAAAGCCAATACAATATCAAAAAAGGATTGTATGGGATAATGAAAATGTTTAGACAATGTTGAATGGATACCATAAAATAAATTAATGCCATTTTCCTTTTAGGTAAAATGAGAAGTTTATTTTTCATTAGTAAAAAACAAATGATATTCTATATAGTGTGTTCTGTTTTGCATAAATATCTTTGCCAAATTTCAATATTTCCAGGCAAGAAGCAGATCACTTAACTGTGTAATGGAAATTTGGTCTCATACTGAAATTCACTATTTTGGGACAGTATGTTGCCACCTAGTAAGAGAAATCTCATGGTTTCAGTTTGAGGGAATAATATTCTGTCAGTTTAATGACTTTGCTTTATGACAAAGTGATGTTCTTCCCTTGTTGGTTATAGAAACAATGCCTTTTAATTTACGCAGAGCCAGAGAACAAAAATGCATCTTCCTTGTCCAAAACCCTTATGGAAGGTATTGATTGTTTCCAATCAAACTAGCTCCTCCTTTTCCTAGATTCAATATTGAATTATACTTCCCAGCTTTGCTTGCAACTGGGTGTGGCCATGTATTACAAGTTCTAGCCAATGACTATGAGTTGAATTAGTTGTGTAAGACTTATTCTTAGCTAATCATAAATTCCAATGAACATATTTATTCCTCATCTGCCCATTAATAACATCAAATGTTGTTATTCTAGATAAGAATATTCTAAAATTGATATTCTAGATAAGAAAAATGGAAAAGGTACTTGGGTCCCTGAATGACTGTATAGAGGGATGCTAATTTTTTACTTTATCAGAACAAAAAATAAACCTTTACTGTGATGTAAGCTAGGAAGATCCAGATACCTAGTATAGTGGCTAGTACCATCCAACTAGTACATTGACATCATCAAATACACTGTTTGAGCAATAACAATTAACATTTCAAAATAAAAAGACATGTACTACTTTAATTATCACTACAACTAAAAGATATTTAGAAAGTTAATCAAAACACAATTATGGTTGTAAGGAATATAAGGGCCTAGTCTTTGTAATTAGAGTGATTTGAGTTACAAAATCCAAAAATCAAGATGGGGAATGGTAAATATACTGCAATAGCATTGACTTTTAAGACACAGATGCAGGCAAATTCCAAGCTTTGATCTTGGCTTTCTTTGTAGGCTTGAGCAATTTGGTTTCCTCATCTACAAAATAGCGAAGATGAAACTTAATTGATAGGCCTTTGTAAAAATCGTATACAAATTCACATATATGAAGGACAGAACGATCTCCCTCAGGTGGGATATAAAGAATCATAGTGAGAAAACAGATACCCAAAGACAACAGAAACTGAGAATGGGTCTTCATCAGGAAGCACCAAGACTGAGAAATTGAGGGTGGACAGGTAGGAAGGGGGCTATGGGACAGCAGTGATCAAAGTTACTGGACACTCTGGTGGAGGGTGTGGTACTGGAATGTGTCATGCATGAAACCATACCATTAACAGTATTGTAAATTAGGGGGTCCATAAATAAAATACACAGACATAAGAATCACCATTTGCTATTTATAACATAATAAATAGAAGCTACTATAATTAAGAATTTACATAATATGTATAAGTATGACTAATAATATTTTGCAGCTTTTAGTCTGGTTACCCTTCCCCTTTCATTAGAATATTACTGCCAGCCAGGTATTCTGCTTACACTTCCTTAGGGAAGTGTTGACTCAGCAGAACAGAAATTCTGGAGATACAGATCTTTGGCTTGTGAATTTCAAACGCCTAGGCCTGGCATATGGCAAAATATTTGCAAGAAAAAAGGAGATGATCAAAGAGAGATTTTTTCCTGCCCCCTAATTTCATTGATCATGGGCAGAAGAGGTGACACTATAGCGAAACTAAGAATATTAAATATCCATTAATTTATCCCAGGGAGATGGAAGAGAATTTGATAGAAGAGGTGACCTGGGCCTCATTCTATAGAAAGTCTCAGAGGGAAAGAGAAGAGCATAGTTTTCACTGCTCTTCTCCTTTCATTTTTCTTCCCCACCACAAAACAATCATTCAGAATCACTTTGCCTAGACAGAAAGTACAGGCAATGTCTAGGCAGATGGGAATTAAACAGTCTCCGCATTTTCCCACCCACCCCAGTATGGCACACGGAATGTTACAGTGATTTCCGGTATTATACAACGAGGGCATCAAAGTAGCAGAGACATATTTCAATTTGAAGGTGCCACCACAGACGGGAATGATAGATGTCCAGGAGGAAAAGACTCCTGGACTTGAACTCCTTGACTTCAACCAACAACCAAGAATATGATGAGAGAGAGAGAGAGAGAGAGAGAGAGAGAGAGAGAGAGACTGTCATCTCTATGGCCACCATCCCAGGAAATGGCAAGGAAGGAGAAAACATTCTGCCATATCATGCTTACCACGCCCACTCCTCGCTTTGCAACTACATAAGCCTGACTGGACAAAATTAGTATTCCCTCTCATCTGCCAAATTACATTCAGTGATTTAAAGATAGATTACTGACTATAGTTGTAGACTGAAAATCCTAGTACAGTAGTTAGAACTTTGCACTATTATCATAAATGCAATGGAGGCATAGGAACTGAAGTTTGTTATTAAAACTTTTCATGTATCTTTTCCTTCAGTTTCACTTGTCTAAGACTTACTTCGATCAGTGATGACTGTTCTAGCCTCTTGATTGCCGGTCTTGTTCTTCAAATTCTGGGCAGCAGTGATGAGTTCTTCCAATTGGGGCCGTCTCTGGTCCAAGTCCTGTAGTGTTGCCTGAGGAGCAAATAGAACTTAACATTGAGGTTCTCAAACACTGTACATTCCTTTTATGTAATTCAAAGTACAATTTGTAAACCAAAATAAGCACTGTTAGAAATTAAAAAATATTATGAGATACAAGTCTCCAATGCATAAGACTTTACCGAGAACAATTAAACAAGAGACGTGCTTCATTCTTGTATATACCCAAGATATTTCAAATGAAAATCTTGATTACAGATTTGTTTCATTCCTTAAAAAGCTTAGAAAGAGTCATTACACACTCTCCAGGTTTATTTAAACTAATATGTGTGGTGTGTGCTATGTCTAAGAAGTGTACTTTTGAATGATGATTATGTATTTAAAAGGAAGACTTGCAATCTCATTCTGTAATGCCATAATTAAAGTGTATATTTAAGAACAGAAAAAGCCCAGAAGTGATTTAAAAGCCATTAACTTATTTAACTTGTACCTGAGATTCTGCATCGATAAAATAAGGTAATATCAATGAGTCAAATCATTCTTTTTCCCCACAGTCACCCCAATAAAATTATTAGACTCCTTTGTCTCAACCAAGAATAAATGAATGAGTGGGGAAAGACTAGAAAGCTATCTTTTAAACACTTTAAAACAAGTTTTTACTTAATCCTTATGAGCAGGCAAGTTTAGAAAGGGCATTAGTATTCATATTCTTTATTTTAACAGATTGTATTTTAAATTTGTTTTAAAAAATTGCCAAATAGAAAGAAGTCAACATTTTTTTTTCTTTTTGGGTCACACCAGGAGATGCACAGGGGTCACTCCTGGATCTGCACTCAGGAATTAGCCCTAGTAGTGCTCAGGGGAGCATATGGGATGCTGGGAATCGAACCTGCATCAGCTGCATGCAAGACAAACGCCCTACCTGCTGAGCTATTGCTCCAGCCCCAGAGGTTAACATTTAAAACAATATATATATATATATATGTGACACTATTAGTAATTAGTCATATAAGAACATCCTAACATCCTAACTTCCGAGGACTGAAGCAATAGTACAGTGGGTACACCATGTTTGATCCCCGAAATCACATATGGCCCCCTAACACCACCAGGAGTAATTGTTGAGTGCAGAGCCAGAAGCACACCTGGATCATTACCTTGTATGGCCCCAAAGAAAAACAAATAGACAAAAAGAAATTCCTAGCTTTCTCTAGAGTCCATCTATTATCTCTGTATACTGACGGGCCCTAATTTCAATGATATTTACAAAGAAGTGTATGAAAATTAAGAGAGCTCCCTTTTTCACATTCTAAAACATTTTCATTTCAATCTGAGCAAGTGTAAGGAGCATTTAATATTTTATAACGACGATATCACAGAAATTTTACACACGTTTTCTCATTTTTACTTTCCAAGTACCTGCACTAATAACCAAGTTAGAGAGTTTCATGGTTTTAAATCCTCTATCCTTTTCACCTACCAATGAAAGCAAAGAGATAAAATGAGGTAGATAGGAATGCTTATGAAACTTGTTTATCTATTATACTATTTGACTCCTAACCATTATGGGGGTTTTCTAACCATTTTGGGGGTTTGTACAGAACTGGCCTTTGATTATTCTATAGTTGTTTCTTTTGTGAATAAATAGGAGACAGTGCTTATGATTTAAGCTCAATTGCTTTTGGTCTTATAAAAATAACAGGAAGAACTTATCTAAATACTACATTTATTGTGAACATTTTTTCCTTTCTGTACTAAAAACTGGAGGGTCTAACTTTTAACAATTTTTCCACATTTATAAGCTGTGATTGCTCAGAAGAAAAATCCAATTTTCAGGTTTCTAACTTTTATGGTTTCTTTACACAAAAGGGTGTTTGAAATATGGAACAAATTGCCAAAGACAGCTATTGAGGTAAGTGGCATAAGTCAGTTGGAGAGTACTGAACAAATTTTAAAGTAGAAACCATGTAGTCGCAGATAGATTTTACACAAAAGATGTTTTCAAGGGTTAGAATAGTAGACTCTGGTCATCTGTGACACAGCAAATTGGAAAAGGGCTTTGAAATTCCTAACTCTTAAATATTTAATGCATCAAAGAGATATTTTAAAAAGGAAGCTTACCCAGGAAACATAAAGCAAAATCTTCCTTTAGAATTTAACAAATAATTCTAGATATACAGAGACAATAAAGCTCATGAATTTTCTGGTGACTCATACTTTAATTTTTAAAGTATTTATCAAGTTCTAGGCATGATCTTAGATGCTATGAATATAGTAAAGAACCTTGGGGGGCTGGAGCAATAGAACAGCGGGTAGGGTATTTGCCTTGCACACAGCCAACCAGAGTTCGATTCCCAGCATCCCATATGGTCCCCCGAGCACCGCCAGGAGTAATTTCTGAGTGCATGAGCCAGGAGTAACCCCTGTTCATCGCTGGGTGTGACCCAAAAGAAAGCAAAAAGGGAAGAAAAGAAACTTGTATTTATTGTGGTTTGTGAAAATGAAGGGGCCCTGATAGCAGTGTATTTTGAACATTGAGAATTTCCATGTAAACAAAATTATCAATATTTTCAGTTTTCTTTGATAGGCTATTGCCACTGCATAATCAGAATATTTTTCTGTTGTCCAGCTTGTGGTACATGACTCAGTGTGAGCTCAATTTTTCTCCTTCTGTTAAGGTTATAAAGTTTATTTTATAAGAAGTATTTTTTCAGCAGCAACTTGATCAACTTTAATCTGAACCTTACCAGACTTTAAATTAAACCTGGCCACAATGAACAGCTTCTGCAGCTGAAATTAGCAAGCATGTCAATTTAAACTTAAAACAAGCCATTTTCCTCTCTAATGAACAAAATAGGTCTCAGGGTATTGTGAAACCTGTTCTCTAGTTGGTTGATTCTCTAATTCTGCTGACAGACACATGCTTTGTAAGCACCTGAGAAGATTATTAATGACATCCTTTGAAGCAGCCTCCTTAAAAATCTGAGAAGATTCACAACTACATTATATCTACACAGTTCTACCAAGTATTTAACAAAAAATATAATTATTTATCCTACCTGTGGGTCAACACACACATCCATTTCAAAAATAAACTGTGAAGAAATCATATACTGCTATGAATTTATCAGACACTGTTACTATTAAATAGAGGTTTCTCAAAAGAGTAAGATGGATATTTTCACCTTTGATTTTCTTTCCAGAAATAAAGGTTAGGGTTTGGATACAAGGTGCATTTACTTTTTTTGGTTGTATGTTTAAGATATTCAAAAAGTGACTTAAAGAGCTTTTTTCAAAGGAGGACACATATAAGAAATAAAAGATTATTTTTATTTGGGGGGTATGTTATATTCTATTTACTGGCTATTCTAATTTCTTTGACCTGACAGTTTCATTTTGTAATACCAAAACAACCAATACAATGACATTCATATCCATTCAATACAGTCATACACAGAAAAGCTCACTAGGTCTAATCATTAGTCAAACAGCCCACTTTCAAAATATCCATCTAAGAAATTATGTTCTCTATCCCACTTCTAGTTCTTTTTCCAGATGCTACACTCTAAAAAACACTATTTCTACTCTAATCTTTATTCTCATATGACTTCCAATTTCCCCTTTCTAGCTTTCCTGTTCTATAATTTTTATGTTAAACAAATAGAATGGTAATCACATTTACTTTTAATGAACTGAGCTCAGTTATTCATTATACACATAATGTAAGTTAATAAAACTAAAACCATTACATGCTTAACAGTACCTAAGCATGATAATTGATCATATCTATATGAATGAGTTCTACCATTCTGAAAGAAACAAACACCAGAGAAGGAAGGAATCAATGCTATTTCTAAGGATTCCTAAGCCAGCTACTGGGCATTATTAAAAACAGCTTACCCCTTGGAGATGAGAATTCATCATGGATTCCACTAGCTGAGCAAAGAAGAGGGAAAAAAATCTTCAAATACAAAGTGAAGCAGAAGTCCTTAATCCTACTAAGTCGCCCCAGGGTTGAGGAAAGTGGTTATAAATAGCGATCCTATGAAACAGGAGCTAAACAATGAAGCTATACATTCTATAAGTGGGTCATTTAAGTATCTTAGAAAGAATCATACTCTGTTATTATATTTATTAAAATGGAATTCTACTCAAATAGAATACTCTAAATGTCTACTTGAATATTTAATACTTATATGCCTTTATATGTCTAAGAAATGACATCAAAAAGCTATATTTTCCAACAAAAATCAACAGTATCACATTGCTACCATTGGAACAAAGAACCAGGCGATTACCCCTTGTTATATTCAGAAAATAAACATGAATTCAACTTCAACATAAAATAAAACCACAGACCTTCAACTACTTACAAGTTTAAAAGTTAACATTTAACATGGACAAGGTGAAAGAGCATTGAATCAGTTTATGCATGAAAAAAATAAACATTGAGGTCAGGTCAGTACTAAATTGCAGCCTTTCTAGTAACTGAAAGTATTTAACCTGAGGATGCTAATCATCTGTCTAGCTTTCAACTGCCTCAATGAGCACTTTAGTAAAACCCAGAGTCATCTTCATTGTCCTCTATTTCCTCACTTTTTTTCTAATTTTTTTATCAGTGAAACACCATGAGGTACAGTTGTAGACTTACAATTTTTTTGTGTTTGGGTTTCAGTTATACAATGATCGAGTGCCCATCCCTCCATCCCACCATGCATCTGTGGCAGGGCATTCTCTTGTTCTCTCTCTTCTTTTGGGTGCTGTGGTTTGCAAAAGAGGCATTGAGTAGCACAATCATGTTTGGTGTATAGTCTACTTTCAGCATGCATCTCCCATCCTGGGCGGATCTTCTCAACACCCTTTATTTGGTGCTTCCTTCTCTATCTGAGCTGCCTTTACACATACTTCCTCACTTCTTATTTGTATTTTCAACTGATAGAATATTTACTGCTTATTTACTTATTATTTACAGGTTATTGTCTCCCTTACTTTTCTGAATGCTTACCAGCATCCCTGCTCGTAACTAGCTCATA